ATTTTCCTTTTGGCTGCATGTTCTGCTTCCTTGATTTTCCTCCTACTTTTTGGTTGCTCTTTTTTAAATTCTCTGTTTGGCTCCTAATTGACCTCAGAATAAAGTCCAAATTCCTTAACACAGTTTACAAGGCCACATACTAACGAGCCTCCACTTTTATTCTCAGATTCATCTTTGGTTGCCCTCTATTTCTAGCTCTATAGTCAAGCCTGACACTTTTTGTAGGCCCTGCGATGCCCTTGTAGTCTGTTGTCCCTGGCCCTTCACATACATCATTCTCTCTACTTATCTCCTTTTCTCCCTTTTACTTTTCCTGGCCAACTCCTATGCACCTTCCATGTTCTCTAGACCAGGGCTTTAATGTACACTCTTTAATGTGAAATTGATACAATACCGTCGAAATGAGGTTTGGATTTAGCAGGTTGGGCCTGAGGTCTGAGCTTTGGTGTTTCTAATGACCTCCTAAGTGATATCAATGCTGCCGAACTTTAAATTATAAGATGCTAGAAAATATTCCTGACATCATCCTTTGTGATGCCCAGACCTCCTCTCCACCGAATCCACATCAGTTGCTACCCTAATAGACTCTTCATAGCAGCCTACAGTTTTTCTAACCTTCCTTCCTTCCTTCCTTCCCTTCATTCATCCATTTATCGCAGGCACTGTTTGGGTAATGAACAGAATAACAAAAGTTCATGGAGCCTTTCTTTGAGGGAAGCAGATAATGAACAAGATAAGTAAAACATTTTATATGTTAGATAGTGAAGTTAGAGAAAAAATAAAGGAGGACTGCAATTTTAGATAGGGTGCCAGGTAAAGATATGAAAATGAGAAAGTCAGCTTAGGGGTATGGAAGGGAAGAGAGGAAACAGACAGTGCCAAAGTCCTGATGAGAACATTACTGATATGTCCAATGACTGACAAGACCAGTGGAACTTAAGCAAGGTGGACAAGGGGAACAAAAAGAATCAGTTAAAAACAAATGACAAGCCAGTTGTGGTGGCGCACGCCTGTGATCCCAGCTTTGGGAGAGCTGAGGCAGAAGGATTGCAGGCAATTCAAGGCCAGTCTGGGCTGCATAGTGAGTTCAAGGCCAGCCTGAACTACATAGGGAGCCCCTGTCTCAAATACATACATACATACATACATACATACATACATACAAACAAATAATGGCAACAGCAATGAGGCAGCTGGCAGGGTTGGGGAGCAAATATTTTAGGGCTCTATGATCATTATAAGGACTTAGGCTTTTACACTGAAATGGAAGTCATTGGGAGGCTAAGCAGATGAGTGATAGAGTCTTACATTTTAACAGCATCATACTGCTCTGGCCATCATTATTACCATCATCACTACTGCCACTACATCACTGTCACAGTTAAAACACAATTTAGCTTTTACAATATGCCAGGTACTACTTTAAGTAGCTTAAATGCATTAACCTGCTTAATTCTTAAGTAATCATTTGAGGTAAGGACCATTATTACATATCTTTTACAGCTGAGAAAATAGCACTTGCCACACTGTACTGTAATCCTAGCTTCCTTCCTTCCTTCGTTTCTTCCTTCCTTCCTTCCTTCCTCCTAGTTCTCTGTTTCTCCCCACAAACTATAAAATCTGTGTCTGTCTTCAGTGCCTGGCGCCTAGAAGGCGTTTAGCCTTTGTGAGCAGACTGAATCCTGCAATGAAAGCTCTCCTTTCTCCACAGCCCAAGAGTCCAGACCCATTCATGTAGGAGACAGTAATGTGAAGGGAATGATGGGTCCTGGTAAGTGGCTCTTCTCTTTAAATTCTCTCTTCTTTCAGCAATTCCATTCTTTCCCTTTTTGACCTCCCCTGTTTCTACTCCCTCAATCCCAAACCAGGTGTGAAAGAACTCAGGCAAGATAAGGCATTACTATTACTATGATTCCAAGATGTGTACTAGAATAGGTTAGTGACTGGGCCTGGGATATAGCTCAGTGGCGCCACACGTGCCTGACAAACTAAAAGTCCTGAGTTCAATCCTCAGTACTGGGGAGTAGGGGGGATAGGTTTGTGACTCACTTAATCCCAAGGAGAAAGAAAGGCCGGAGAACTTTAAGACGAATCCAGTATTCTTAGTTCTTTCTGGCTCATTTCAGTTACTCATGATTAACATTTGCTGAAGTCTCACAAGTTTCTTGACATAAATGTTCCATGGATCACACCCTTTTGGTTTGATTCAAAAGTTATTTACTTAGTTGACAATTCACCAATATTTTATACATTATTTCACCTTCCTCCTTCCTTTCCACTTTCCTTTTTCCAACTTACCATCATCAGAGTCAAGGGGATAAATTGCAAAAAAAGATGTTGTCTCGTCCTCTTTTTAGACTTCCTTCCTAGTGGGGCTGCAGGCATCTGGTGTATTCACCTGAAGGAAGCAGATATGAGGAATCAATACATACACTCTAAATTAGTTCTATTACATTATAAATGCACTTTAATTTTAAGAGTCGGAAAATTTATTGAGAGAAAGACAGCTTCTGTCTAAAAGAGACAGAAGGGGGACCAGAGAGTGGGTTGCCCCATAAATGCACTTTTAAAAAACCCTTATTTAGTGGAGAGTATATACAAAGAGTAGAGGATGTATGGACCAGAAGCAGAGAAAGGTGACCCTTTCTAATTCTGGAGACTTTAAATCCTTAATTGATATATTTAGCCCTTGAGGAATGGTTGTACCCAAACAAGGGTATATTAGTTAAGAGTTAGTAACAAACACTATGTTTTTTTCTTTAAAAAGAATGATCTTGATTGCAGATGTTATTTTTCAGGAGTGAACCCAACAACTCCAGAAGCAGATGAAAACCTGATGTCTTGCATCTCAGTGGATATCCAGTCCAAGGGCCATCTTTCATCTGGCATGTGGAGGCAGCCCAAAGAGGGCAAAGAATGGGGGGAAGAATATGTCACAAAGGACCACCCAGATAAACTCAAGGAAACCGGCCAGGGTAGACACAGTTCCTTAGAAAATGTTTTATGTGAAACCTCTTTAGCTGGTAAGTTCCATGGGGGAATTCAGGCTGAGATTTTAAGGAACAAGATATATCAGAGGCTGGAAAGTAAGGGCTAGAATCTTGGCATGGTAGACCCAGTGGATATATGAAACCACATGGTCTCTGGTTCTTTTTTCAAATGAAGCAACCAAAGCCCACAGAGGTGAAAGAGCTCACCAGAGGTGATGCCAGTTGGGACTGGTATCATCTGGATTCTGGATCTTCATGACTCTTAGTGATGTAGTGCTTTGAGAAAAAAAAAAAAAAGACCTAAGGTTGATGGAGAAGAAGGGAATGTGAGAACTATTTAGTCCACGATGTGGAATTTTCCATATTTTTTTATTAAGAATCTTCCATCCAAGTGTAAAACCCTGAAACAGGCTCTGACTCTCCCCCCTCCATCTTTTCCTTCCTTTCTTCCCTCCGCACCTTATTCATTACTGGGCACTCACTGTGTGTCAAACAGTGGTTTTCCCTCAGCTATTTGGGGAGGTGATTTTTAAAAAATCAATTTTAATTTAATTAATCAAATACTTGCAAGATTAAGTAGTACTAAAAGTTTTGTTAGGAAAAACAGCAGCTACTACTTTGAACTCTTTTGACAGTTTTTATTTTGGTATTTGTTTCTGTGTGTTTTAAAAAACATTTGTGCTGCTATTTTGGAAACTATACTTTGCTTAATTTACATAGAGTAAAATCCAGTGATTACATTTAAGCTTATTGACTTTTTACATAGGTGTATCCACTGCGATCACTATCCAGTCCAACCTATTCAATATTTGTTACCCTAGAAAGTTCTCTCATCTATTTTCCCAGCCAATATCTTCTCAAAGAACTACTGCTGTGTCTTCTGCTACCATAGTTTTGTCTGTTCTTGAACTTCATAGAAATGAAATAATAGGGTACGCACTCCTTTGTACCTGGGTTTTTTCTCTCAACATAATGTTTCTTTTAAGATTTATCTATATTGTTACATGTAATTCAGTTGATTATTTATTCCTGTTTATTAATCACATTGAATGAATTTGTTACATTTTTTTAAAAAATCCATTTTCTGATGGTGGACATTTGTATTGTTTCCAGTTTGAGGATATTATGAACAAAACTGCTTTGAATATTCTTGTACAAGGCTTTTTAAAAATGTATGTGCTTGGGTTGGGGATTTAGCTCAGTGGCAGCATGCCTGCCTGGCAGGCACAAGGTCCTGAGTTCAATCCCCAGTACCAAAAAACCCCCCCAAAACTATGTGCTCATTTATGTTGAGTATATACCTAGGAATAGAATCTCTGGATTAGATGGTTAGGATTATGTTTAATTTCAAAAGAAAATGTCAAGTCATTTCCTGAGTGGTTGGATGATTTTATATGCCCACCACAATGTATGAGGACTCTGCTTGCTCTGCATCCTTCCCCGTTCTTGCTGTGAACAGACGTTCTAATTTTAGCCATTCTCCTGGGTGTGCACTGTCGTAAGACGGTTTTTAATTTGGACTTCCCTAATGACAACACTGAACATCTTTTCTTCCTATGCTTATTGGTTGTTCATAGATCTTCTTTTATGAAGTACCTGTTTAAGTCCTTTGCCCAACTTTTAAATTGGGTTGTCTTTTTTTATTTGTAGGATTTAAAAATATATTCTAGGTTTGAGTTCTGTCTGGTGTAGGTGTTGGTGTTGAAAATACTTTATTCTAGTCTGTGACTTGCTTTATCACTTTCTTAATAGTCTTTTTTTTTTCTTTTCTTAATAGTCTTTCGATGAACAGAAGTTTTAAGTTCTGATGAACTCTAATTCATCAATTTAAAAACTTTCTTAAAAGCTTATGACTTTCATGTGCTTCTGAGAAATCTTTGCCTGTCCCAAGGTCGCAAAAACATTCTCATATGTTTACTTCTGAAATTTTTGTAATTTTACCTTTCACATAAAACTATGACTTAGGGCATGGTGGGGGACACCTGTAACCACAGCACTCTGGAGGGTGAGGCAGGAGGAAGGCTGCAAGTTTGAGATTGTCCTGGATAATGAGTTCAAGGCCAGCCTGAGCTACAGAGAGAGAGAGAGACCCTGTCTCAAAAAAAAAAAGAAAAAGACTATGACTTAAATAAATCTTAATGTATGGTGGGAGGAAGAGGTTCAGGTTAATGTTTTTCCCTAATTATCCTGTTGCTTCAGCACTATTTACTGAAATTCCTTCCTTTCCCCCATTGAACTGAATTGATCAAAGTCAAATGATCTAATATGAGTGAGTCTAATTCTAGACCATATTTTTCTTTCAATTTTCAGAAAATTGCCACCTTGACAGTGTACTGAGTCCTCTGTTCATAGAGCATGCTGTTTATAGTCTTCCTATCTTTTCATAGCTTTCATTCACATAGAGCTTCTTTTTCTCAGCAATGAGACAGAAACTATTATTTACATTTTCTTTTCTTTAAAGTATCTGCCCTCAGGACCTCTGTCACCCTGTTCCACTCTGGTCCATTGTGCTGCTGTCATCCTGGGACTTCCCAATATCCCTGGGAATTTCTTTCCTATTTCTCCCATGTTAGAGTCCTGCTTGGTTGTTGTTAATGAGTACATTTTTTCATCTTGAGTGCCCTTGGTATCTTGGTTTACTTTTTTTTTTGGTACCAGAGATCAAACCTGGGTCCTTGCGCTTGCGAGGCAGGCGGCAGAACCACTGAGCTAAATCCCCGACCCAGTTTACTCATTTTGATAGAACACATTGTCCCATCATTTCCACACACTTTATTGTTAATTTGACTTAGTAGAAACCCTTTTCCCTCATCATTTTGAAGCAATTTTCCCATTATTTTCTAGCTCCTAATGTTGCTATCAGGAAGTCCGATACCATTCTGATCCCCAGTGCTTTGTATGTTACCCAACTTTCTACTTGGTAACTTAGCGGCTTCTTATCCTTGGTCTGCCAACATTTCAGTCATGTGGTTGGTGTGCCTTACAATGATGCGAGAGTCTTTTTTCATTAATTATGAACAGCACAATAGGTCCTTCCCTCTGGGAATACATGTCCTGGGATGTTTTCTTCTATTAATGTGGTAATGTCTTCTCATCCATTTTCTTCCTTTTGCCCAGAACTTCTACTAATTTGATGTTGGATCTCCTGCATTGATTTTTCTTAACTGCCATGTTTTTCTCTATTTTTCTTCAATGTAGCTCTTCTTGTTTGTTTGTTTGTTTGGAGGGCGGGTTGTATTTCTTTGACTCTTATCTTCTACTCAAATTTTAAAATTTTTACTATGTTTTAAAAAATGTCAAGAAGTATCTTTTAGCTGGGCATGATGGTGCTTGCCTGTAATTCCAGCACTCGGGAGGCTGAGGCAGGAGGATCACAGTGAGTTTGAGGCCAGCCTGAACTACATAGTGAGACCCTGTCTCAAAAAAAGAAAGAAAGAAAGAAAAAGTATCTTTTAAAAATAGCATTTGTAATTATTAAATGGCTAGAATATTTTTCTCATGTCTCTTTGAGAATATTAATTATGTAATTTTTTTTGGTACTGGGGCTCAAACTCGGGTCTTTGTGCTTGTGAGGTAGGCGGCAGGCGGCAGAACCACTGAGGTAAATCCCCAGCCCTAATTATATAATTTTTTGAAGTTTTCATTTGTATCCTGCATTGTGTCTGTTTCTTTACCCCTCCCTTAAATAAATGTATATAAGGCTAGCAGGGATGTGTGTGTGGGGGAAGGAAACCTACTATGTTGTTGATGGAAATGTAAACTAATATAGCTATTTTAGAAATCAATATAGAGATTTATCAAAAAACTAAGAATAGAAATTCTATTTGACCCAGCTATACCTCTCCTGGGTATCTTCCCAGAGGATGGTAAGTCATCATACTACAGTCATACATACATACCCATGTTGATGGCAACAAAACTCAAAATAGATTTAAATCATGGAAGCAGCCTATATGCCCATTAGCAGATGAATGGATAAAGAAAATGTCCTATATATTGGAGTACTGTTCAGCCATAAAGAAGGATAAATTTGAGTCATTTGTAGGAAAATGGATGGATCTTGAGACCATAATAAGTGAAATAATTCAATCACAGAGGGTTAAATATTGTGTGTTTTCTCTAGTATGAGAGACCAAAAATATAAATAACTTAAAGAGCAAAATTAAAGGGCCATATTAAGAAATAGGGAGATAGATTTTGTAGACATGAGAAGGGAGAAGGGAAGGGGGCAGCAGGGGGAGTAAAAATTATCACGAGGCAATGTGTGTGTGTGTGTGTGTGTGTATA